TAATTGTAATTTACTTCCTGTTGATGAATCAGTATTAATGAAAGTTGAGAATATTAGAAATTATGAATTAGACAGTTTCTGTCGCACATTAAAAATAGTAAATGCAGACAATCAATTTAATCCACAATATCAAAAAATGACAGAAGAAGAAAAGGAGAGAATGGCTAAAATTATTCAAAAAGTTGAATCAATGACATATTTTTCAGATATTGTAGAAGAAATGATTGAACTTGTTGTTCAAAACATGAAGAAAGGAATTAAAATAAGAACTTATGAAGTTTGTGCAAAGAAATTTGATGAAATCTTTGATAAAATGAAAATAGAAGAATCAATGTATCCAAGTGAAATGATAATTTATGGAAGAATAAACAATAATTGGATTAAGGCTAGAGAGAATAAAAACATTATTATCATTTGCGAAACAAGAGGTCTCATTGAACAAGAAAGTGAAATAAGTATACCAAAAGGTATTACAATTTATTCTTCAAGTATTCTTTTGGTGAAACCAAATAATGAAACAAATATTAAATTTGTTAGATCCAAGTGATTCATTATTTTCAAATGTAAAAGTAAATGTATTTAGTCAACCCAGATTTAATGATATGCCTAGTGTTACAGTGAGTATAGAAGATATTATTAATGAAGAGAATAGAAAGAAGGTTTATAAGATTCTTGATGATCTTTATGTTAATTCTATTTTATTTACCCCTCCAAATCAACAAACAACTAGAAATAGTACCAACTCACTACAGAATAAAATACCACAATTACCTGAATATATCAAATACATTTGTGTTCAAGCAAGAATGCCAAATTTAATAATCGATGACAAACAATTGGAGTATTTAGAAGTAGGTGTGTGTAACTCAATTATCGAACTTAAATCAATAAACAATTTAAAACAGTTAAAACTACATGGAGTTAATAAACTAAAGATAAATCAAATGAACGAAGAACAAGAAATTACAACAACAAACAACAGAAAATACTGGAAAGACATACAAGAAAATATAAGTACATTCCCAAATCTTGAAGAACTTCAATTAGTTAGTTGTTCTAATTTAAATATTAGTTTAATGTCAAATAAATTAAAGAGTGTTGAAGTAATTAATTGTAGAGAATGTCAAATTAATATTAAATCAGATTGTATTGAAAGATTGAAATTAGAAGGAAATAAACAAACACAATTCAAATTATCAACAAATAAATCAAATGATATTTGTATTAAAGAAGGTGATACTTTCACATTAGAAATAGAATCTAATAATGAACAAAATATTGAAATAATAGAAGGAAAACAGATTAATGTAAAATCAAAATGTCCAATTAATAAATTAATAATAGTAGAATCTTATGAAGTGAATATTACAGGAAATGAAAAATGTAATACAATGAAAGTAGTTGAATCTACAATCAATGAAATTGATATCAAACCAAAGAGAATTATATTTAAATTAATTGAAGAATACATTAAAGTATCATTGAAAGAAGCAGAAGAGATATATATTGTATCAATGAAAGAATATATCTTTGAAGAATTATTTGATAAATGTAAGAAATTATGTATTGATGAATGTGAGAATTGTCAATTCATAATCAACAAGAATCAAATCAAAGAAATGAAAATAACAAAATGTAAAAATACAGAAATCACAGGGAAGTTAGATAATATTGAAGAAATCATCACAATAGATAATGAAGAATGTAATATTCCAGAAACAACGAAAGTTATAAAAGAAGATACAGAAATAATAGAAATGGATAATACAAATAAAGATATAGAAATAGAAACAGATAAAACCCATATTATAATAAGAAATATCA